TTGTTTGTTTTTTGAGAGATCATTTCTAATATTGCTTCCTAATAAAGATGTGAAATTTATGTTCTAACTGTGCTGTGGGAGGCATTTGAATTTAGGAGATACATGTGTATACACTATGAGAAAGGTGGAAGAAAAAAATTACCATTTATGTATCAAAATGAAGAAGACAGTATCAGACGTTATACCGCTGTAAATACAGAGGATTCTCAGTAAATCTTGCTGTTAATAACGTATAAGAAATGTCTGCTATGAAATCCTGTTGGAATTCAGTGGAAGGGAAAAAATTACCTTTTATATATCAAAATGAAAATAACAGTATCAGACGTTATACCACTATAAATACAGAGGATTATCAGTAAGTCTTCCTGTTAATAACGTATTAGAAATGTCTGGTATGGCATCCTGCTGGAACCTGGGTGATTAGATGCTTAAAGTTTCTTCTAGAAGATGTATCAGGTATTGTTCTTTAACACAATCCCAAACTCTTCATTTTGGTTCTTTTTCTTTTTTCTTTTCTTTCTTCTTCTTTTTTAAATTGACATTTTACAATTAGCACACCCTTTTATTGTTTCATTAAGGAGACTGACTACATTAGAAACTCCCTCAACTGTTTTCAGAAACACGATACATTATAGTGAACTCTTTCCTACTGTGCTTTGATACCAGAGTTGATAATCTCTTTATAGCAAATATTGCCTCCTTCCTCTCTACTCTCCCAAACCGGTAAGAGATATTTATACCTGAGTGTGTAATGTAACACTATTCACAGTAACCTGCACATGGAACCCACCTGCATCTTGCAGTGAATAAATGGGGAAAATTGTGATACATACTATAAGAGAGGATGAGACAATGTCTTTTGTGATAGCATGGGTAGATCTGGGTGAAACCTTGAGTAAAATTAATCAGACATTGAAAGTCTAACTCTGCTCATCAGTTAGAGGAATTAGCTAGGAGTATATATTATTTAATCAGAATTTGGAAGAGGGTTTAAGCAAGATGCTAAACTCAGAAATCATAGGTAAGCCTTGATATTTCAAATTTGAAGGTGTTTAGACATCTGATATGTTTTAAGAAGTAATCTTGAGGATGGGGGTGACAGGAGGAACAGAAAGCTAATGAAAATCAGTTTCTCACATGCAGACATGGAGCTGGGTAGTGAGCACATGAGAATTTAGCATATTGTTTTCTCTATTTTTGTATAGGCTTGCAATTCCCTATAGTAAATGCTTTGTTTTTAAATGTTAAAAAATAGAAGAGAAGAGAAGAAAACATGAGGACTTATAG